AGAAACAGGAGAGAGCGTTTGGTAACACGAGGATAAGGAACTCCTAGGACATGGTAGTAGGAGGTGCTAACGGGAAGATTGCAGAGTAACTCTCCACGCGCTATCCGCCGAATTGTGATATAGAACCGAAGGCCAAAAAAAAAAGCGAGGGAATCGTGATAGAAAATTCTACTAGGTAGAAGCTGAGGGAGGGAGGGAGAAGTAACAAGGACGTGACTGCCCTAATTTTGACTACACGTCAATATTTTCTTCCGTCAATTATTTTCTTTGGCATATGGGATGAGCCTTTTTAGCTGTTTTATGGGTTAAATCATTATAGATTAAATTTTTTTCAAAATATTAAGCATACAATTCTTTAAATTTTTAATATATATATTTATTATTCTATACCACAATATATAAATATATTTAATATTATTTTGGTTTGAAATATAACCCGTGCATAGCATTGGTCAAAATACTAGTACTAGTACAGAAATTCCCATCTTGACTTTGAATTTACTTCAATCCTTCATTTCCTGTCGTATTTGTAAGACGAACTTCTCTCACTCTTAATTTTGTATTGGTATTTATTTACATGAAGGATGATCATGTCATAAACTTAAACGGATTAGGTGATCTATATAACATCTTATACTCCTCACATCAATATGTATTAAATTCAAGTTTTTTGCCTTAGCCTTGTACATTTAGCATGACTATTTGGTTGGATTTAATTGGAGAGGTCGGTGTAAATTCAAAAACAAAAAAAGGAATCTCCCTATGTAAGATAAACCGGAGCATAGCTTTATCTTTTGAAGTGCAAGGGCAAAAGCGTTGATTTAATACATAAATACTATAAAAAAGTGTTGATTTAATATATAAAAGTTAAGGTTCTTGTAATACGTTTGGTGTTATGAATAGAACGTTGCCGTTTTGACAAAATATATATATATATATATATATATATATAAAGTTAAGGGCAATAATTGTCTAATAAATGTAGAGGATGTAGATTTAGTAGTAGGGATATGGATTTAATCCCTCTCTATTTATTTTATGTAAACATACACATGCATAAATATATACATACACATATATGCATGTGTATATACTACATACATGCATACAAATATGTGAGTACACATATGTACACACACATGCACGTAAAGGATAATTCACTTTATGCATACATAACTACGTGCTGTATTTAAAACTCATATTTATGCATTTTTTGAGTTCTTACTCTGTTAAATTTTTAATTGAAGGACGAAAAGGGCAAAAATATAAAGTAGAGGTAATTTCAGAAACCTCCATTGAGATTTCTCACAGTCTCAGTCCCCTTCCTGAGATTTTTAAAATATCAAAAACCTCCCTAGAAGTAAGTAGCTAGTATTAAATCCAACCAAATTCAAAAAGACAAACATAAAAAAAATTGGGAGTTGGAGGAGAAAATCGCCTAATATCACAAATGCCCTCAAGCCTTGCATTAGTGAGATAATTTCATATGAACAATACACAATCAATTTAACAAGAATGAAATTTTGGGGGAGGTTTATGAAATAGAAAATTAGCTAAGCATAATTTACCATACACAGAGAACAACTATATCAACATAAACTACCAAAGAATAAAATTTGTTCAGTACAAAATTCTTAGAGATTAATATGAGTATGTGGATTAGAAAACTCTTGAATCCTCTATAATAAAGGTAAAAATCTTCACATACAGCTTAAAAATCTCTGCTTCTCTTGCTCTAATTGAAGTGACTTCTTGCTCTTGCAATTTTCTATACCATACATCAACCATAGTAGAGTGCCTGAATTTGGTGCCCTTTTTCTCATGACATTTTAAATATTATTTACACTTCTAAATTATCATTGAATTCAATTTATCATATTTATAACTATTTTAAGTAAATTTATTCGAATAATTGTGAAATATCTGATAATTGTGCGGATATTTAAGTAATTTTATCTATGAAATGTAAGAAGTGGGATCTAATATTCTACAAAGATGAAGTAGAGTGAGATTGATAGAAACCTCAGGGGAGGTTTCCGAAATTTTCCCTATAAAGTATATATGGGAAAAAAGAATGAATCAAAACAACGAAGTTGGTCTCATCAAGTAACGTCGTCCGTTATCCTTTCATCTGTGGGGGAGATCTTGCACACCTATTTGTTGTATTCTGGATTATGTTGTTAACGTTGCTTCATGGATTATGTTGTTAACGTTGCTTCAGGCTATGAATAACACACCAACACGAGTTTAATAAAATTTTGTCAAATTTGTCTGCTACAAGTTTTTTAAAAACTTTAGTTATAATAACTTCAAAAAATTTCTCAAAGTTTTTAAACTATACATTTCAAAATATTAAAAAAAATTCACTTTAATTAAAAAAAATCTTCTATAGTAAGTTACAGTAAAGTTTTAAACAACGCAAAAAAAACTCACCTTCCAAATGGAGCATTAATACATACACTACTGGACTTTTGGCAAACTATCGTGGTAATTAACTGTCAAGAAGGCTCTGATTTAATGGCTAAAATTGAGACATGTAAGGTTCTGAATTCTAATTCTGATGTTTTTTTTTTCAATTCCTTAAATCTCACCCCTCTTTTGTTAAAAAATAAAAAAACGATAATTAACTATTAATTAGTATCTTTTTTTATTTATGATTCTTTTTTGTTTATGATTTAGCATAGCTTTTCAGATTCAAAAAAGGAAAAAACGTACTGTAAAACTTAGACCAATCAAATTATCAACCAAGAAACTCGTTTGAATCAGCCAAATGCCACATTGATATTTAAAAATACAATACCTCATAACATGGGGCTTGTTTGGAACTCAGTTTTTTAGTTACTAGTTTTTTAACAACTTTAATTACGGGAATCCAAAAAACTTACCAAATTTTTTAAACCGCGCACGCCTTAAAATATCTAATACACAAAAAACTTCCTCATTTCTTCTTCTTTCTCTCCCCTACCCTATCCACCACACCTTCATCGCCGGCCACAACTTCCGCCGCTGATTCCGGCGCGCGACTTTCCTTTTTTTTTTTCTTTCTTTTTCTCTCTCTCTCTCCTTCCCTCCCTCTCCCCCTCTTCTCCCCCTCCCCTCCCTGGCCACCCTGACCAGATCGCAGGGCAGCAGTCAGTCGTCCTATAAGCAAAGGGAAAGCCACTAACAATATAAAAAAAACTAAGTGCATCACCGACCCCACATCTATTGTGAAACATCCTCAGCCATTTTCCTCACATTCTCCAACAGTGGCTTTATCTCGACATCCAAATGGTATACCTTCTCGGTTGAAATTTTACCATCACATTTTTTCAGCATGAATGTCATAATCTCGAGTTTCTGTCTGATAGAAACAAGTTGAGATCTCTCACCAGCGGTTGTCCACGAAGCAACTGGGTTTTCAGCACTCTGTGAATGGAGAGAAAGTATTATGACTGGACTCCACAGCCATTGAAGAAACTAATGAATGGCGAACCTTGTAATTAACACTAGGAGCGGGGAAAGGGCAGGGCAGAGCGTAGTGGCGGGAAAAGGGGAAATGGAGGGCAGTGGGCGGGGAAAGGAAGGGCAGAGGGCAGTAGGCGGGGAAGGGGGAAAGGCAGCGCAGTGGGCAGGAAGGGGGAAAGGGACGACAGAGGGGTGGCGGGGGAGGGCAGTGGGCGGGGAAGGGGGAAAGGGAGTTGCTGCTGGGAGGTAACGGGAAAGGAGGAAGGGGAAGGAAGAAGAAGAAGAACAGAGAAAAGAAAAAGAAAAAAAAAAGAGAAAGAGAAAAAAAGAAAAGGAAAAAAATTTTTACCTTACAAAAAACTTCTACAAAAAAAATTTTTTATCTTACAAAAACTTCAACAGTGCACTACAGTAAAGTTTTAGACAAACTCTTAAAAAAACTCAGGTTCCAAACAGGCCTATGGTATTAAAAAGTGATAGCTTCCATTTTTTTATTTTTTTCAGATCATGTATGATGACTTATGCCAAAAATATTGACTATATGGAATATGCCAGTCATTCCTAAAGTTAAATGCAATAGAATAAAAGATTTATTCTGATTTGACAAGATACAATTGGAAGCATAATTACGTGATATGAATAAGTTTAATAATCACATCCAAGCGAGGCTTAACACCCATTTGGTTCAAGGAAAGATTAAGACTTTAAGTGGGAGATTAATCGTGTTGTAAGGATGGTGGATTGGATTTTTATAAAATTCCAATTGACAATGATGGATGAACATAAAACTTTATATATATATATATAATATATAATATATTGATATCATAAAGCTTTATATTTTGGGATTTGCATAATTTGGATAGGTAAATTATTTCACATAATATTTTATTTGGATTATAAACATATTTTCAAATCATGTTTTTAATATTTTTAATTATTTTTTATCTCATATACATCAAATCACAAAAAGTATTATAATAATTATTCCAAATAATATTCTATCAAAACACAGTGCTCTGAATATAAAATTAATATATGATGTTATCTCATTTTCACTAGCAGTAATCCTAAACCCTGTATTGAACCAAACACAAATTTTGTACATTATGAAAAATCTAATTGGATTTATCTACTTAATCTCACTTAATCCAACATGACCCAATAATAGTAATAATAGCTTTGTCGAGAAGGATTATGGCCGCGTTTGGTATGTTGGATAAGGAAACAGACTTTACATGGGTCTTGAGAATTGATTTAACAAAATCGACAAATACAAAAAGAAAAAGAAGAAAAGGGAGATTTAGAAAAAAGGGGGAAAAAAAAAGAAAAGACAAGAAGTCCAGCATAGATGAGGATCTACAGTCGATTGTGAAGTGAACCAGTCAGATTGGTTCTGAAATGAGGTACAAACCAAAGGATAAGAAGAAAAAATAAATAAACAAAAAAAGAAAAGGCCAAACCGAGAGAGATGCCACGTGGATTGAGTTCGCAGAAAACGGATGCAAACCTATTTATATTCCACTCTTTATTCTTATTTTCTGTTGCCGCCCATTTCTCTCCTTCTCTCTCCACCTTTGTCCTCTCCCTCTTCTCTGTCGACAGCTACAGACACCTCTCTCTCTCTCACTTCAAACCCACACATCTCCAAACCCTAGACCCTAATTCATACCCATAGATTTTATGGGATTTTAAAATCTCCCCAATTTTCCCTTCAATTCGATTTCAAGAAGGAACTAAGGTCCTCCTTTTTGCTCCTTATTCGGATAAATCTAAGGTTTTAGGGGATGGCTAGTTCAACCACCAGTAATGTCTACATCCACGTCATCGAGGACGTCATCAATAAGGTCCGCGAAGAGTTCATCAATAATGGCGGCCCCGGCGAGAGCGTCCTAACTGAGCTTCAAGGGTAATATATATATATATATATATATGTATTTTTTTTCCATTTCAGTACCTTTTATTCACGATTTCCCCTAGCTTTTCTATTTTTCAATTCATCGATTTGCTCTTTGCGTAGAGGTTGAAAGCTGAGTAATAAGTTATGGGTTTTCCCCCTCTTTGTTGGACAAGAAGAATTTGCAATTTTTTTTTATTGGTTAGGGGTTGGGGGTAAGCGTGGGGATCTTTTTTTTCATTTTTTAAATTCTGATTACTTGGGATTGCGTCTTTGTTGAATTTTTTGTGTTTATTTGATGGTATGGTGCATTGTCTGGTGGTTTGCCTGTATTTTATAGCTGTGGGAAATGAAAATGATGCAAGCTGGAGCTATATTGGGTCCAATTGAGAGGTCCTCTGCTCCAAAAGCTACTCCAGGGGTTACTCCTGTTCATGACCTTAATGTACCCTATGAAGGCACTGAGGAGTACGAAACCCCCACTGCCGACATGCTCTTTCCTCCTGTAAGTACTTGTGACAATACTGCTGATAGGAGATTCAGTGATTGTGTTAATAATGTTTTGGGTTGTGGAATGCAGACGCCACTACAGACTCCTATGCCTACACCGTTGCCAGGGATGGCTCAGACACCCTTGCCTGGAAATGCTCAGACTCCGTTGCCTGGAACGGCCTCAAACTCCTTTACCTGGCACAGCAGATAGCTCACTGTACAATATTCCAACGGGTGGCACTCCTATTACTCCTAATGAGTATTCTTCTGTAAATGATAGTGGTGGTGCTCCTGAAGTGAAACCAGGACCCGGGAGACCTAGTCCTTATATGGTATTTACTTCAGTTCATCTTTGTTTTGCTGAAGATTGTAGCATCTAATTGCATATTTGTGATTATTTTATATCCTCTCAGTACTTGCTGTTGAGCTTTTCTTGGTTTTTGTTTTTTTTTGTGTGCCATTTGAAGATTTTGGGTTCCATGGATTATCGCTTTGGGGATGAAACTGTAGACTGAGGCTTTATTTCTTCGTTAGTGTTTTTGGTTTTGTATATTAACATATTGAAATCTGCAGCAACCGCCTTCACCATGGTTGAATCAAAGGCCTCCTCTTGATGTTAACGTTGGTAAGCAAACTATTACAAAACTGTGTCATAGAGGACACAAGACAGCAGATGACGTTAGTTTATGACATAACTATTTTTTGTTTTATTGTAGCTTATGTGGAAGGCCGTGAAGAGGGTGAGAGGGGAGCTTCTCATCAACCCATGACACAGGTGATTACTCGTAAACTAGGTTGGACTCAATGAAGGCTATCTACTGATTAAAAGAATATAAGTCGAGTTGAAATTGGGTCATCTGATGTTCTCAGCACGCAAGGAATTGTTTCCTCCTTATGAATATTACCTTCCATGTGCATTTGCAACTGTACAGTATTTCTTATTGTGGAGTGATAAAGGACTTTAACTGTCTCCGGAAGTGTGAAGAGTCAATGTGGTCAACAAGAATACATGTAACCTTGGATTTATAACTATCGCAAATTCTTTATAGGCATTCAATGAGCTACCATAGTGTCATAGGCTGGGGATAAGGGGAATGATGTAGACATGCAAGTGTGGACAATGATTAATTGTGTGGAATCTCAAATTTCTAAAAAAGTGTAGTTAAAGATGCTGGCCTTATGTTCAGATCAAATTAGCAATAGATCTCTTAACTGTCTTACCAGATAAATGGGACAGTGGACTTCTTTCCTTCCAAATATGCCTTGCTGTGCAACATAAATGGAGGAAAATTTAGTTTAGTAGGTTGAAAACTGAACTGCATGTTTATAGTCGTGATCACATAATGACAATGATGTCTGACCATAATTGTGTGCATCCTTTGCTCTGTCAGAACAGCTTGATTGACTGTCCTTCAGTGACCAGTATATTTTTGTGTTGATTATTTTAAAAGTTCGTAGATTCTAGAGGAAAGCGGAAGAGAGATTTTCTGTGTTAACCATCCTTGATGCGAGCATCACTTTGTATGTGTGTGTCTCTCTCTCTGTGTTTTTGTATGTGCGAGAGGAAGAGGGACAGAGAGAGAGGGATAGGAAGAGGGAAAGAGAGGGGGCAGGCGGAGCTTGGTGAGAATGAGCATCTCTGATCTCCAATTATGAAGATTGTTTCTTTAAGTTTCTGCTTGGCTTTCCTTGTTTTAATCACCTTTTGTTTGTTTGCATCGGCTTTTGAGAGTTGAGAGGACCCCTGTCAAGTAGTGCTTTCTAGTTCATCAAATAGGATGTCTTGGAGCTTTGTATATGTTCCACTATGTCACGGAGCGTTGCCTTAAACCATGTGCTTTCTTAGAATTGATAAAGCTAAATCAGAATGTGTGACGCCACCTTGTCTGGATGTTATGGATTGGGCATGCATTTCATGATAATGTGTACAGGTAGTGATTTAATATAAGAAGCCACTATGGATATTTTAGACTTCTGAACTTTATTTTTTAATTGTAGTAATTGACCTGGAGCTAGAATCATGTGTGGCTATCTGCTAAGCATCTGTGTGTGTGTGTGGCCCCACGTCTATCTCTCTCTCTCTCTCTCATGGATGAGGAGAGCTTACCTGAGAACAAGGGCATCTAGCTTCCATTTGTCAGATTGTTTCTTTCTGTTTCTTCTTGGAGTTCCTCATTTCCATGGTCATCGGATCTTGACAGGACCTGTGTCTATTAGTGCTTTCTAATTCATTAAACAGCATGGCTTGGAGTTTTCAACGTTGTTCATTATGTTCTAGCTAGATTATTTCCTTAAGCTATGTGCTTTACTGAGAATTGACAAAGCTAACTCAGAGTGCATGAATGTGTAAGCATACTTGAATGGCACGTGGAGGAAAGCACTCCATCCATTTCTTGGTACTTGGAGCCCATAACAGCAGACACCTGGTCTGAATGTCTTTTGAGCATCCTCGCCATGATGACAGATACAATTAGGTTTAAAATAAGAAGTGACCATGGAGATGCTGGCTTTTTAAACATTATTTTCTAATTGGAGTTGTTGATCAGAGTTAGAATCACTTTGGCAATATGTTTTATAGTGATGAATATGGTAGGCATTTTTTTTCTCTGCATATTTCTTATATAGGGTGATTTTTGGTGTCACATAGTAAGTGTATTTCATTAATGATTGATTTACTACTATTTTGGTTTAAACTTCTGGTAGAAGGTACTGTGTGGTATTTCCTTTTTTATGTCCTTGGTTTTATTTCATTTCTTTCCAGTTACAGCTTGGTGGATGAACATTTAGGAAGGGGTTAAAGCATGCTGATAGGTTCTGGGAAGGATGTCAACTGTTAGCTGACAGGAATGTGGATGTGTATTTATTCACACTTACCTTGATATTTTTTTATTTAAAGTGGAATTCATCTTGACTTGATTCTATGGTGATGATCAAAATTGAATTTGTAATTACAATCTTTTGATTGAGACTCTTCTGACATGACATGTTTACATTTTGCTTGTGGTTTTTCTGGAAGCTGTTCTGGAACTCAGCTATATGCATTACTTACCTATCAATACCTATGACTTGGAGAGGATGGGAAAATGTGTTTCCTTGGGTGACTCTTGTACAGAAAGACGCTATTTTCTTCGAAAGTAAAAAGTGAGGTTGAAACAGTACAAAAGATGCTAACCAATAGTTTTAGTTGTTGTGGACCTGATGGAAAATTATGGAATTGGTATATTATTTGGTATCCAGATTTGTCTAATTAAAAGTTTGTGGTAGGCTCTATGATTTTGACTTCAACTTGCTGAAAGTGTGAGTACATATATATTTTTTGGTCTTTCTTATTTCTATCCTTTGAATGAAATTTACTTATACTACATTTCTAAGTAATTTTTATAGCTCTCATTGGTTATATTCCTGCCTTGCTTCCCTGTATTGGAGTTAAATATCTTTACCTCAGTGATGGACTTGAATATGTGATTGCAGGATTTCTTCATGATGTCTGCTGGAAAGAGAAAACGGGATGAATTTGCTTCACAGTACCCTAATGGTGGTTACATACCGCAACAAGATGGAGCTGGGGATACAATTTCAAATGAATTAAAGGTTTCCTTTTCTCAATCCAAAATCTGTTTAGAATTCATGGTCTGCAATTAACTAGCTTCAAGAAATATCAAAATCGGGTAATTTAGACCCTATTGTCTTGTCATTGATCTGCTGAGTTTGTTAGAACCTACCAGAAAAATGCCAGAATGCTTGATTTCTAGAATTTCGCATTTCCATCCATTGTTAATTTCGTTCTTAGCATCTGTTATCTCTGCTTCCGAAGCAATTTTGACAGAGTTGTTTGTCATTCCCTAGGTAGGACAAGGGAGTAACACCCAACACAACACAACCATTGCTGGAGCTGAAATGTCTCTGCAAGGAGGGAGGGCTGTGTCCAGGATTTCTCAACTAGATGGTCCAATACCTGATCCATATGATGACGTGCTTTCAACACCTAATGTACGATCTGCTTTTATGACTTGAACGTCATGTTCTTTTAGCTATGTCAGGTTTACGATCACTTTTTAACTACCTGATCTGTTGATTATGTATTTGTATAAATAGAATTTCTTGTAAAGCAGAATACTAGTAAAGGTTTGCATTTGGTACTATCACTGTGGGAATGATTGTTAGACTCGTGGTTATCAGCTTTACGGATTTGTTTGACAATTGGGCCATAAAAGCAGTAATCATAGTTGAAAAACATCAAGGATTCCTGCATAATGTATCAGAAGTTCATGTCTGCGCTTTGGTTAATATTCTGACAGGAATGGAGGTTGGTTCTACTTGATCAAGTTTTTAGAACTAATTTTAGGAGGAGTTTTGAGTGTTATATCCAATAGGTGGAGGGGTATGTCTTGGCATAAGTCTACATGAATCAATGCCTCTCTTAATGTTCTCTCGTGTTTCTCCGTCTATCCAGTTTGTTTAAATTGAATGTGGTTTGGAAACAACTGGTTGATAGAGGGTTTCGATACAATCTTATGATCCTTTATTAAAATGGTAAAGAATGATGTTTGCAGTGCAACTAAAACATTTACTTTGTACATTTCCAAATCCGTAGGAGCAGTAACATGTTGTTATCTTGTACATTTGTTTTTTTATATTTATATAAATTTTGGTGTCCTTGTTATTCCAGAATGGTCTCATATTCCATTTGTTTGGAAGATCTCTTTATCTTGCACATGTTATCTTCTTCATCTTTTGGAGCTATAAAATCATCAAGCATGGTTTATTCACCTCCTGCCAGTTTGTATTGACTAACATGGTTTACTCACTTTGTGTAGATATACAATTATCAGGGAGTTGTCAATGAAGACTATAACATCGTTAATACGCCTGCACCAAATGGTAAAGTGAAATTCTATTTCGTCCAAAATAATAAGAGTTGCCCTCACTCTGTACGTTTCTGATGTTGGAACTACCTTTAATCTGCATAACTTAGACATACAAGCGGCTACACCTGCTGCTGTCACCCAGAATGACACTGTAGATGATGATGAAGATGAACCTTTAAACGAAGATGATGATGATGAATTGGATGACGTGGATCAAGGGGAGGATTTAAATACTACTCATTTGGTTTTGGCACAGTTTGATAAGGTAGCGTGCTAGACTCTTCCTCATCATTCCATTGCTTCTCTTTTCACCATCAAGTATGGGGGCTTTTGCTGCCCTTAATTTTCCCACCATTTCAGCATTTAAAGGATGTCATTTTTTTGTTTTGATAGGTGACGCGTACCAAGAGCAGGTGGAAGTGCACTTTAAAGGATGGGATAATGCGCATAAACAATAAAGACATTCTCTTTAATAAGGTGTGTACGACTTTATTCTTTTCCTACTTCATCATTGTTATTTATTTATTTATTTATTTTTGCGTTCTGGTTGCCTTCGATGTTTTCACTATCCAAATTTCATCATAATTACAAATTTCATCCTTTTCTGCAGGCAACAGGAGAGTTCGAGTTCTGAGTTGTTGCTGCTTTTGTGAATGTCAGAAAAGTTTTTACTCTTGAGAGATTAAAACTGATGAGATGAGTCTTGCTGTTTCTGAGTATGCCTTTGGTTGAATATTAGGTGGTGGAAACTTGGGAGAGGGAGGATGAGTTTAAATGTTTTTCCTAGAGAGGCTCTACGTTGAAGCTTTTACCTGTTTACTGTAATGTATTACTGCATCTATAGTAAACCTTATATGACACTTGTTGGATGATAGATAGTAAATTGCATCATCTACTGCTTTTTTTTCCTGAATCTTTGTTTGAATCCTATTTTGATCAGTTTAATCATTTAATCAGCGCACACAAGCCATCTGAGTCGCTCAACCGCTTGGAGTTCTACGTGTGTGTGTGTGTGTGATTTTTGTGTTCTCGGATTTTCCAGAGAACAGCACACCGCTACAACCTTTAATTTTAAAGGAGGGATTAAATATGCACTAATTTTTGCATCACGGTTTCGCTCATGAGAGGTAGAACAATGGTGAACATAATATGCTTTTCATTTGACGAGGCAAAGGTCTAAATTTGAGTGAAAGCTCTAACTGAACAGAATAAAAAAAATAATCAAAAGAAACCTTAAGACGATAATAATAATAATATTATTCAGCGAAGAGGCCTAGTTGAGGATGAAGAGCAGGCTAACGCTGGGAAACCTGTAGCTGATTTGGATTTACAAGCGAGCACTGCGACTGGAACATGGCAAATAATGCTGAAGGTTCTGTTAACGGGGTCGTAACTGCTGGGTGCTGCACCCGCCACTTGCTGAAAGGTCACCGAAGTTCTGCTGTTCAATTCTGCATTGTCCTCCACCACTGGCGTCGTTGCCGCAGCCGCCGTCACCGCTTGATTCATCTGGGGCCTCGCGTGACGGGGAAAGTAGGGGAATTGGGGACAGCAAAGGAATCGCAGCGAGAGAGGAAGCATCCTCAGGAGGATCGCGAACAAGGGAAAACTTTGGAAGCATTTCTGATGCCATCTAGATGCAGTGCAGCGGGTGCTTGTTTTTGTAGCCTGGTCGGAGGCTTCCCTTTGGCAGAGGCTTTACATTTGGATACGGGTTCATTCTTGGCACGTTCCATCGTTGCTGAGATCGTTGCTTAAATCTGAAGTTGCAGAACAAACAACAGATGCGTCAGGGATATGTGATGTGAGGCAATTGAAGGAGTTTTTTTTTTTTTTCTCGTCGGTGTGATTTGCTTGAAGTGAGGGAATGCGGGGGGGTGGTGGAGAAAAAGGAGGATAGTCAATAGATAGCTTGCGGGACTGAAAATTTGGGGAGGTGCGAGTGACTGTGAATATTTGGATGAGGAGGAGGAGGAGATTCTTGTCTTGAGGTGCGCAAAGTATGGGATCGGTTACGTGGGTGAGAACCCAATATCAGGTGACAAAAACGAGGTTGAATTCAGATACTTGGTCGGGAGCGTTACGGTATTTGTAACGGCTCTGACGTGATGCTTCCCATGTTTTTTTTTTTTTTTCCTTTCTTGGTCTCTGTGTATTAGATTAGCAACAAGTCTTGAAAAGTTGGTGAATGCAAATGCAAGGGCTTGATACTTAATACTACTTATCGTGTGGTTTTGGCTTTTTACCAACTAATAATACATTGATTTATTGGTTATTCAGAGAAATTCACGACTTCCTAACATACCAAATGATTTATTGGTAGCTGTATGGTAGTGTTTCCAGCTTGAGAGTAGGGGGAAATCGAAGATAAAACACCCATTCTATACTTTCCTGCATTGTACCAATTTAACCTGCCACTTTTGCTCGCAGTCGCAGCAGAACCTCCTCATAGCCTGAAAGGGATGGCATGCTTTTGCTTCTCAATCCCTTCAGCTACATCGTCATCGCAGAGCACCACCTGATCGATCAGCTTCAGGAGAAAACGTTTCTTCTCTCTAATTAGATTACGCCCAATAGTAGACTTCGATTTCAAACAGCTCCTTGTCGGAGCCATTAGATTAGATGACTATGATTTGTAGCGATCCTACCAAATTAACAACACAATCACTCCGACACGCAAGAATATTCGACGGAATCCTTTTGGGAGAGCAGCTTCCCCACCATGCGTCGCCAAATCACAGCACAATCAACAAAAGCAGATTCGCGAAATGCTAAACATGAAGAAAGAAAATGAGAAACACAGCTGGAACAGAGGCAAAAGAGAAGCGAAATTCCAGTCGGTCAAGATTAAAGCACAAGTAAAGACGAACGAATAGACGTCCCAAAAAATCTACCGTATTAGTTAGAGCTCAGAGTTGCTCAGTAATGGAGGAAGTTGCAGGACGCACATCAGCAGCAGGTTTCCGGTCGAGCATTCACTGGAGTCGGTTGAATGAAACAGGCCTTACTGGTTTGTTTGTATAATTACTGCCACAGCTTACCGGATTGATGCACGATAATGATAATGATAGACACCAGTCATTATAATTAAAGAAAATTGAAAAATATTTAATCCATGTGACTCATTATTAACAAATGTATGCCACTATTTTAGCGTCCGTTCCAAACCAAAAAAAAAAATAAAAAAAAAATATATATATATATATAGTAGAGTGACACCCATCAACTTGCTTGGGCTTAGGCAGAAGTGTCAAAACGCAATGTGTCTATCCAAAAACGCAGACCACAGAGTACCAAAAAATGATCAACTAGAGCGTATTATTGCCAGCCTTCTGCCCTCCAATTTTATGGGCGTTCCTTTCCACTTCTTGCACATGTAAATGGTAAAATTGTCCACACAAGACAGGGCTTTAAAATCTGCAGCTCTTAACATTCTAAAATCCCATCAATCACCAGTGAATCATAGGTTATAACAATCATGTCTTTTACCTCTTTTCACCCACAGCTGAACCTTAACCTTTCACACTTGCAACCTCGGCCACCATCCCTCAATCCATCCAAGGGTCACACAAACTTCTCTTGAGGCGATGGAGCAGCCAAAGCCCACCTTCCAAATGCAGTCCATTTTTGGCTGGTACTGGTGGTCCGTATTTTAGTTCTGGTACCACGTTAAGGAGCATCTTTTTGTTGTCCTGGCAGCAGAAGCAGACCAAAGGTAAACCACCATCGAACTACAATAAAATTGTTGAACCGTGATCACAGTTCAGAACTGGTGTGGTACAATTCTAAAGTTGTGCTTGTTTAGACTTCTGGGGCTTTGCGAATTGTAATGCATACTGATCAAGGTTGTTGCTTTGGTTTTGACTGAGGTGATCGGAAGGTTCGAGCCGCTTCAGAGGATGGAGGCGAGTCTCTTGACGCTGAAGCAAACTATCAAGAGGAATTTTCCTGGTCTTCAGTTATTTTGCCGTAAGTCAATTGTTTGCAGATTATCTACTTTGGAAGATTTTAACTGTTGAAACTTTCCTATTTGTGACTAGTTAATTGGCAGTTCTCAATTACGTACGCATTGCTCGTGGACAAAATGCATTCCTCCTGATTCCTGTTTGTCCGATTATTTGGCTGCAATTCTGATGAGGGATTGGTAATTGATTGACTGCCCCGTTTACATGGTCTACCCTCTCACCAATCGAATGCTTTCGTGTCTTTCAACCCGCAACTTTTTATATGAACCCAGCTATTCTCGATTCTGAGATTCATTGCAGTATTAAGTTCAGTTTTCAATATAGTTATCTGATGTACTGGATGATGTAATCCACGTTTTAGGAGGGCATAAGTGTCTAGAGGTGTATGTTTGTGGGATTTGTATAAAGCTGGAGTTGGTAGGACTTATTTCATGCAGCTGGAGTTCTACACACACTGATAAAATTTTGGTAACTGGTTCAACAAATTAACGATAATTGGGTGTATTGGACAAACATATCCTTTGTTCCCCCCAAATTCACGTCATAAACATTGTAAAAATGCTGAAACTTGATTTTTCTTGCCAATTTGAACCGCATTAATCCCAGTCACCTTTTGAAATCATATACCAGGTTTCTGTTCCCAGCTGTGGGTGGTTTATTATTTGGCTATGACATTGGCGCAACGTCTGGTGCGACAATCTCCTTGCTGGTAACTTACTGCTGTTCACAAACATTTTCCTGTCCCTCTTTTGTTCCAAACACTACTAACTGTCATGGCGATTGTACTTTGGAAGACTCTTTTTACTTTTCCACTATCATTTTGCAGTCACCTGAGCTTAGCGGTACGACGTGGTTCAACCTTTCGGCTGTTCAACTAGGCCTTGTGGTAGACTTTGCAATCATGACAATTCTGATTCATATTATCTAACTCTTATTTCATGGAGGGTAAATGCTTGTTCTTCATTTCTTTTGATTTTAGGTTAGTGGTTCCCTTTACGGAGCTCTTCTTGGTTCCCTCCTCGTTTATCCTCTGGCAGATTTTCTTGGTATGGCTCTTGCCTTGTTATGTGGCTATTATGCTAGAACTACCATATTAACTGTCTACATTGCTTTAATTTCTGAAGGAAGGAGGAGGGAGCTCATCATGGCAGCCATTTTGTATGCAATTGGCAGTGCTTCAACAGCCTATGCCCCTGGTTTGGCTGTTCTCTTACTTGCCCGGCTTGTTTATGGACTTGGAATAGGCCTAGTAAGCTTCTTTGAGTTTTCAACCTCTATCCTTCCAAAAATCCTAAAGGACTAATAATATCCTGAAATTTGACAAGCATGCTAATCAGTTGTGTTTGACAGGCAATGCATGGGGCTCCTCTTTACATAGCAGAGACTTGTCCAGCACAAATTCGGGGAACTTTGATATCTTTGAAAGAGCTGTTCATAGTTCTGGGAATTTTGGTAAATTTGCCATTTTGATGCTCACATCCATTTTTGTTTTGAAAAGAACATGGGGGTGTTAATAATTGCTCTTTCTGCAGCTGGGTTACTTTGTTGGGAGCTATGAAATTAATGTCGTTGGAGGGTGGCATTACATGTATGGACTAAGTGCTCCTATTGCATTGCTTATGGGGATAGGCATGCTGTCTCTTCCACCATCTCCCCGGTGGTTACTTCTCAGGGCAGTTCAATGTAAAGGGCCCTTACAAGAGTTGAAAGAAAAGGCAAAACATGCTTTGAGCAGACTAAGAGGCCGAGCTGCAGGCGATAAAGTGTCTGAAAAGCAGATAGAGGAAACCCTTACCTCATTGAAAACTGCTTATGCTGATCAACAATCTGAAGGGAGTGTCCTGGAGGTGTTTCAGGGTCCAAGTCTGAAAGCATTTATAATTGGTGGAGGCCTGGTCCTTTTTCAACAGGTGATGAAAATCTTCTTTCAATTTGTTCTCTGCATGATATTATCTTTATTCTTTTTCTTTTCTATATTCATTGGGGTTAAATAAAAGGTTATCCTAACAGCAAGTTTACCAAATTGTTATTACAGATAACTGGGCAGCCAAGTGTTCTGTATTATGCTGGTCCAATTCTTCAGGTGGTTTGCTTTTTCACCCTGTTATTATTTATCCATTCATTTGCTGCTGTTTTCACTTGACCTTATAATAATATGCATTTTTGTCTCAAGACTGCTGGATTTGCTGCTGCTTCTGATGCTACGCGTCTTTCAGTTGTAATTGGCACGTTTAAGGTGTGTCTGATCAGGTGACTGAAGAAATTTCTTGAATCTTTTCTGTTTGAGGGAAGCTTATAATTGACTTTCATTTGGTATTGTTCTGAAGTTGGTGATGACAGGAATTGCTGTTCTAAAAGTTGATGATCTTGGGCGTAGGCCATTACTGATTGGAGGTGTTGGTGGCATCGTAAGCTTTAATAAGCCCTACAGTTTTTGTTACTTTTCGACTCATAAGTAGGTACAATTTAACTTTCTTTTTGTTCATAGGCCTTGTCTTTGCTGCTTCTTTGGGCTTATTACAATTTCTTGGAGGTTATCCTTTGGTTGCTGTGGCAGCTTACTTCTATATGTTGGTAGCTATCAGGTAAAATACCTCCCCCACCCCCACACCCCGGGACCCCAAAAAAAAAGAAAAAAAAAGATGATTTGACTTATTTTGGGATGCATTAAATATTTACAAGAAATATGGGATTTATCAGTTGCGGTTGAAACTTTCTTTTAGCTAGTGGTCAGCTTTGCTAATTGTTCCATATTTGTATTTATATCAGGTATCGTTTGGGCCTATAAGTTGGCTTATGGTGTCTGAGATTTTCCCTCTACGAACTAGAGGAAAGGGGATCAGTCTCGCAGTTCTTACGAATTTCGGCTCAAACGCAATAGTAACTTTTGCTTTCTCTCCACTGAAGGTGACTTAAACTCTTCCCAGAAACTTGTTACTCTCAAAGCTTGGATTCATGATTCATGTTTCCGGTTCGCTCTTTGACTGATCCATTCTGTCATTATCTATTTCTGCAGGAGTTGCTTGGGGCTGCTAATCTTTTTCTTCTGTTCGGTGCAATTGCTCTATTGTCGCTTGTGTTTGCGGTGGTATATGTCCCTGAGACCAAAGGCTTGAGCTTGGAAGAAATCGAGTCCAAAATTTTAAAGTGAAGGCTTAATGCGTCAGGATCTGTGATTACTAGATTCTAGTAACCTAACAGTTCTCTGATTTGTAGATATTGTGTGACAACCTTGCAGTGAAGACTTGGAAATGAGATGTACTCATTTAGATGCCATAATACGAGGTATTGTTCAAACCTTTCATTTTGATTTCTAAGGACTTAACTGAGAGACCATCAAAAATTTTTAAGGACTATCTCACCAACCCTCCCTCCGTAATATCTCAAAATCTTCTGGTTTACCTTACAAACCGATCAAGATCTCATCCATGGGTAGAATACTACTCCTTATTACTTGCCAAAAATCAAAGAAAAGGAGTCTACACAGATATCCACCTGGGCCTTGATTCAATTCAATCTATATTAGGATGCAAGGTTCTTCCCCGACAATCTTATGCTTTTTATTTAGGCAATGAATAGTAATTCGATTCTATGTCACTTTAAGATGAAATCATTCACTTCAAAGGATGATTATACAGCACAGATGCAATTATCACAACAAAGAATCCACATCGGCTGAAGTCCTCTTGTTGTCTATTCGTCTAAACAACTTGGCCTACAAACCTAAGAATGCAGACACATCTGCAGTGACCAATAATGTAACTAATTTCGGACTAAAATGGCTGATCCATCAGTACTAATGGGTACAAAATTCCTACTAATGGTGCTGTAAAAGCAACTTATTTCTGGTTGACCAGCTTATGATTGCACAAGGTCCCACTAAAGGAGATTCGGAAATAGCTGGTAATCAATTTGCACCTGACCAAGAGTTGGTCTTCAGTTGGCTTGAAGTATTCTTCCATGAGTTTGCTCCTCAAGATCTGCAACCAAAATTTCATCGGAGATCAAAATGAATTTGAGTAACCGAAATAAAGAGAAAAATAAATCCTAAGGATTCCGGAAGTTTTGCGGCATCGATTTAGTGACAGACAGCCTGCCAGGATTAGGACCCTGGCTCTTGTTCATATAGTTTGAGGATAACTTTTCAGCAAATTACGGAAGCCAGGCAGGTATTCTGGCTGTATAACTATTACATTCAACTAAAGTTCCTAATTCATAAAACAGGAGCTAACCTTCTTGGGCATTAGTAGAGACTGGAACGAGGGGAGATGAACTTGCGCTGTGGAAGACAGGGACCTGAGGCGTTAAGCTTGTGCTGCGGAAGAGGGGGAAGTATGACGACGGATTTACATTGGCAGAAGAGGTGGAAGTTGGTGATGGAACTTCTGTTTTGATCCATAGGGGATTGTGTGATATCAAATATTCTGCTTTCATCGTCTCCCTGGATGGTTTTCCTTTAGAACTTGCGCCGCGGGGGCTGGAAACATGTGACAATGAACTTGCATTGGTAGAAGAGATAGAATTGAGTGGTGGAACTTCGGTCCTGATAAAAAGGGGAACTTGTGGCGACAAGTTTGCTGCCTTTGCTCTCTCGTTCCTGGGTTGTTCCATAAAATTTGCACCTGGGGAGATGGGGGCATGTGAAGGTGTGCGTGCACGGTAGAAGAGTTGGAATTTGGTGGTGGAACCCTTTCTTGGTAGAATTGGGAAGATTTAGTGACAAATTCGTCGGTTTAATTGTCTCCTTGGATGGTTCTTCCCTAGAGATTGCCCTGGGGGACATGGTGACCGGAGACGAATTTACATTGACTGAAGAGAGGGAATATGGTGGGGAAACCGGATTATTAGATGACAAACTTGTTGCCTTGCTTGGGTCCCGTGGAGTTTTTCCACAGTGCTCTCACCAAGAGACTTGAGGTTTGGCTGTGGAGGTGAAGCTTCTGTTTTGGTAGTAGAAACGGGAACGTTTTGAGAAAAATTTGTTCCCTTGATTTTCTCCGTGGAGGGTTCTGCTACAGAGCCTTTTGAAGCAGAGTGAGGGTGTTCATCATGTCGAAGAAATGAAGTTACAGCTTCTCGCACTTTTTCCACCATGCCCATATCACGAGGACTCTTTCTTGGACTTATTGCCTCAGATATGGCCTGAGAAAGTGCTCTGTCATCTTCCCCAGGCTCGAGCTTGTTCATGAAATACTCCTTCACAGAAACACCTTTGTCCCACTGTTGTGGGCTCAAATTACCCAGATGTTCTCTAATCTCGGAGCTCCTGTCAATATTCTTGACATCGTCAGCAGGAAGATGCTCCGTATCCGGATTTGCGTGTTTCTCTTGGTCCTCAGGGCTTGAAATAGTCAACCCTGCAATCTTGGACGCAATCAACTGAGTGGCATCGCTGACCTTAGCATATGCTGGTGCGAGTTTCTCAGACACGGTTTCAGTGATGGTCTTGCTTACAGCAGCAGCCTTATCTTTCCCTTCATCTCCATCTTCGTGTTTGATGCTGGTTGGGAAAAGGTGCTTCTCAGAAACAACTGGATCTGCTCTTGGATGTTGCCTTGCAGTTTCTCTATAAATTTCGGGTGCTAGCTCTGATTCATACACTGAAAATCCAGGTAGAAATGTTCTTAATGAAATGAAGCCAAAATCAGGACAAACGTATATTATAGTGCATTTATAATGCTTTATATTTAGATTAAACGTCTGAACAAAGAATAAGTATATCGTGAAGGGCCATAAACAGAGGATACTTGGAGCTCCAAGATACTCAGCATCTTCATCTTCTTCATCATCATAGGAGTCGTCCAAACTAACACCCCAAGGCGGTGTAGTGTTGCCGTCCGGGGTTTCATGATTCTCATCGTCATGCTTCTTCTTTCCGCTGAATGACTGGCGCAATCTCCTAGCTCTCTCCTTGACTTTAGTCAAAACTGATTTCTTGTTATTATGGGGCTCAAATCTTCATCGTGGTAGTGGTTCCTTGCAAGAGTCGGTGAGGTACTATGTTGCCATGAAGCTTCATCATCTGACAAGCAAAATCCAGAGTGAAAACCGTGCATGGTTTAAAAATTTAGCGCACAAAGTGCCATTAAAAAAAAAAAAAAAAAAATTTCATTGCTTGGTGAATTTCATGTTTGGATTTACCTTGAAGGAGTTGCTCAAAGGTGAGGGATTGAGCTTTAGGAGTTTTCGGGGTTGGGGTCTCGGCATATTTTCTGCTGACTTCAAGTTGGGCCATTGCGCAAGAATGTAAACTTTCTGAGTGTGCTGTCGTCTTCTTCTTCTGATGGTTTCTCCTAACTATTCTTGTTAGTTACCCATTATAATCGTCTTATGGTGCTTTTCCAATCCAATTTATATTCTTGTCATCCATCGTAATTTGTTATCCTCTTCTTCACTGGTTTCTAATGCTTTGCCTAATTATCCTTGTTATCCACCACATCCTATGGCCTCCTCTTCACCGGTTCTGTGAAAGTTTAAAGTTTAAACTGAGGGGAAATTTTAAGCGCAGACAGCGTTGGTAAATGCGTGGCTTTCGGGTTCCTTGTGGATTACAGAACCGTAAACGACACAAACCACAGATCACATCTAACCTTGGACGTTAGAGTACGAGGGCTCCTAGCTCTCCAAGTGGCAACAAGCTCTCTTGCAATAGGCTACTTTTTTCCTTCCTATTTTTATTTTGGGCTTCGACTCTTCTGTAGCAAGTATCAAGTACTTTTCCGTGTACCATTATGTATTCAGAATGCAAAGCACCGAACCTAGGCGATGGTACTTCTAAACCGAAAAAGAATACGAAATTAAAACCTTAATGCAAAGAATGAAATTGGCTGATTCTTGTTTCCGGCTAGTGAGAGTCCGACTCCAAAATCATAATACGACAGGCGGTTAGGAAAAGTATTGGGTTAAAAAACATCTGTCCAGCCAAAAGTTCCCCGATTGCTGTTACTACAAACTATTCTCCTCATTCCTCAAGATGGTCCTCCAAGACTAACTTCACAAAACTGTCCATTAGTTTGCCTAAATTAAATGCAAGAATGTTTCCTAGGCATAATCACGCGAAGTTGCCTGTTAGGATTTCATATCTTGATGTACAGATCTCCCACCCCTAATGTCATGGCTTAAACTCAGTTGCTCTTTGGAATCAAATCCAACTATATCCAGGGTTTTTCCTCACTTGTCTATCACACATTATCTTGCGGATACCAGCTGCATCATTCCAACGACCTTCAGAGGCCAAGATATTTGATAGCACAACATAAGTTGCAGGATCACTTGGACAAAGCTCCACAAGCCTTCTTGCAGATCGTACTGCAATTTCTTTGTCACCATGAACTTGACAAGCACCTAGTAAACTTTTGAACATCGAGGGTCCTGGCTGTATTGGCATGTTATCAATGAATGCCTCGGCTTCATGAAGATGACCAGCCCGACCATACAGATCAACTATGCTAGCATAGTGCTCTAAATTGGGTGGTGGAAGGCTATCATCGTTTTCATCAACTGAAAATACTCGAGTCCTTTATCCACCCAGCCACAATGGCTGCAAGCAGAAAGCACTATGAGGAATGTTGTTAGATTTGGTTTAACCCCAGTGGTCATCATCTCTTCGAACATTCTAATAGCTTCCTCGGCATATCCATGATGGGAATAGCCCGACAAAAGTGAATTCCATGATATGACATCATGTTCATCCATCAACGTGAATACTTTCTTTGCATAACTAAGATTACCGCATCTTGCAAACATGGAAACAAGCCCATTCCGCACACAGATATTTGAAGCATGCCCTCCCTTGGTAACCAGACTATGGATCTGCTTCCCCACTTCAAGAGCTGAAATGATACCAATTGATTTCAACACACTTGCATACGTGAAAATATCAACACCGATGCCTGCCTGCCTCATCTTTGAGAAGCAGGTTAGTGCTTCCTCACCACTTCCTATATTGGAAAAACCGGCAATGACTGCATTCCATGAGATTTGGTCCCAAAGGGTAATAGTTGAACAAACTCGATAGAATTCCTCTAAGCTACAACTACACTCTGAATATACAGTCACCAGTGTAACTGACACAAAAATATTAGACTCAAAACCTTCCTGAACTATACGACAATGGATTTCCCTGCAATGGTCTAGGTCATCAGGACAACAAAACGACCTCAATAAACTGTTATATGTCACATAATTTGCCTCAATTCCAACCCGCAACATATCCCGAAACAAAGTCATTGCCTCCAAGGAGAGCTTATTCTGTGCATAACCAGTTATCATTGATGTCCAACTGAGAACATTCTTATAAACCATTCTATCAAACACACTTCTTGAGGCTTCAATATCCAAACATTTGGCGTACATA